GAGAGAGAGAGAGAGAGAGCGAGAAAGAGAGAGAGAGAGAGAGAGCGAGAAAGAGAGAGAGAGAGAGAGAGCGAGAAAGAGAGAGAAAGAGAGAGAGAGAGAAAGAGAGAGAGAGAGAAGAGAGAGAGAGAGAGAGAGAGAGAGCGAGAAAGAGAGAGAGAGAGAGCGAGAAAGAGAGAGAGAGAGAGCGAGAAAGAGAGAGAGAGAGAGCGAGAAAGAGAGAGAGAGAGAGCGAGAAAGAGAGAGAGAGAGAGCGAGAAAGAGAGAGAGAGAGAGCGAGAAAGAGAGAGAGAGAGAGCGAGAAAGAGAGAGAGAGAGAGCGAGAAAGAGAGAGAGAGAGAGCGAGAAAGAGAGAGAGAGAGAGCGAGAAAGAGAGAGAGAGAGAGCGAGAAAGAGAGAGAGAGAGAGCGAGAAAGAGAGAGAGAGAGAGCGAGAAAGAGAGAGAGAGAGAGCGAGAAAGAGAGAGAGAGAGCGAGAAAGAGAGAGAGAGAGAGCGAGAAAGAGAGAGAGAGAGAGCGAGAAAGAGAGAGAGAGAGAGCGAGAAAGAGAGAGAGAGAGAGCGAGAAGAGAGAGAGAGAGAGCGAGAAAGAGAGAGAGAGAGAGCGGAGAAGAGAGAGAGAGAGAGCGAGAAGAGAGAGAGAGAGAGCGAGAAGAGAGGAGAGAGAGAGCGAGAAGAGAGAGGAGAGGAGCGAGAAGAGAGAGAGAGAGCGAGGAGAGAGAGAGAGGAGGGAGGGAGAGAGGGAGAGGGAGGGAGGGAGAGAGGGAGGGAGAGAGAGAGGGAGAGAGAGAGGGAGAGAGGGAGAGGGAGGGAGGGAGAGAGTATAATTGTCTCTAATCTGAATTCACAAGAAAACCACTATATTATATGGCAGGTCCAGAGGAAAACTCAGTATCTGTAACTTTATTGAAAAACGTAGTTAACAGGAGATACTGTGTCATGGTGTGGGAACCCTGCTGTTATTTCCGTCGGCTTACTTCGTCCGGAGCGTTTCTTGTTGTCACCGAAGTGAGGTTCCCTGGTTAATGACTGTCGCACCGCTCTGCCTCCTATCCTCGCCTCAAACTCGAGGTGCTGACGGGCTATTACTTCTCCAAGTTGTCTTACTTGCGCAACCAGGGGAATACTTGGCAGTACACGGTACAGTAGACATCCATTTCCACGGCCACCCGTCCTGTGCGGCGTCCTACTTCCTGTCCCTCCTCCGGTATCAGTCCACGGCACCTCATATGCGAAATTCTCGCCATAGCACCATATCCTGTTGACAGTCCTCGACACGGTCCTTCATGACTCTCCCACTCTCTGTGGGGTTCCTCGCCATCAGTTACATGCCTGAAGTGTTGGTATCGACGACCAGGCTAACAGCAAACAGACCATGCACACAAGAGCCAGGATAGTAGGAGAGAAAGATTTGACAGGTGTGAATGTGTGTGTGTGGGGGGGGGGGGCGTAAATGACAGTACTACGAGCTGCTAAACAATCAGCTAATGCATTGTTATACCGTTTTCTTCTTAACTCTTTGACAGGAATAATCAAAGCAATTCGCAAGGATCTACCGGAATCTCGAACACTCCGATAAAGGATAGTATAGAGAAAGTAAACTACATGTACAGACACTCGGTGCATAATGGACACTGCTAATGTACAAGGATAGGTCCATGATACAAGGGACACGAGGAGGCATGCTCGATGGCCTAACTGCTGATAAGTTCCTCTTCTCTATGCATCTGATATGCATTTGCGTCGCACTCCCTAAACACTAATAAGAAGAGCAACATGCCTGACAAGGTGATGTAAACAGGGTAGATAAAATCAATATGGATGTCTGACAACCCCACATCCGCTTCCTGCACATTACTAGTGTCCCTTAGATGCAACTTCGGGATTGTGACATTGATTGTCAGCAAGGTCAGGAGCGCAGGCCTAATCACTATAGGATCTGCAGCGACATCCGTGATGGAAGACTTTTACATTTATTCTTAGAAAATTAGGAGAACATGCTCTATCCTTCCCCTTCCTCCTTTTCTTCAGGTGTCACCCATGTTGGGTGACACCTCTCTATGCACCACATGAATGAGGGTGGTTGCTAAACTATTCAATCGCTGTGTAATCTTATTCACCGTGCTTTAGTACAAAGAATCTTTTCCTTTTTCAAAATTAGAAGCTAACTCCTGAGCGTTGTGGTCAAACGTGTTGACAGCATGAGCAGACAAGTTGAAACTGAACTAAAGACAAGATTTCCCTATACTTTCCGAGTTCAGATGTAAGAGTGTCATCATCCACAACTCCAAAAAGTCTGTGCGCAATGTTGCCCACAAAGTTGAATAATCCTCGTCGGGCCCTACCTGTAGACTTGACAGGTCCTAGAAAGAATTCAACACTGCCATCATTGAGAATAAGGTATGATCAAATGTGCATCAAGAGAAGGATCGATGGTAAGATTGTCACAAAGAGAAAGTAACTGGTCCCTGTGGTATAGGATAAGCTTCAAAGTGTTGCAGAGTGGCAGTAGCGAGAACCGGGCATCCACAAGGCTAGTTATAGGATAAAACTTTCCTAGGTCCTCAATCATAGCTCCAGGTGCATCCTTCATGACCAACATAAAAGAATATATTACAATAGCCACAGCCTATATGAAAAGGATGAAAATGATCAGTCCGAGAATGAATGATGCAGGTAATGCATGCAATTGCAGCTAATGAGGGTACTATAATAGCAAAGGTTAATGACACTACAAAAATAACAAATAATAAAACTACAGGAGTAACACATGCCTGTCAAACAGCCAGCTTCAGGACGTCAGAATGGAACCACTGCACAGAGCCATCAGAGACAGACTTGCACTCTGCCTTAATCTCGAGGATTGATGCAAGTAAAATGAATACAGGATGTTATGTCTAAGCAAGAATGACGAGTGAGAGGGCCACCTATGATTCCTGACACTGATAATACTGATCAGCCAGCTTCAGGACGTCAGAATGGAACCACTGCACAGAGCCATCAGAGACTTGCACTCTGCCTTATTCTTTACTGCTACAACTCTCTAGGGATCCACAAACAATGGACTAAGCTTAAGCTGAACAGTACCATGAGCACGGGTTTTCCTAAATACCAAAGAACCGATGAGTGATCTTATGCTGGTACTCAATTGTTCTGTCATACAACCTGGCCAGAAGTGCCTTTGCCTGCATCACATTTAGCTGCTGCGTGAGAATGGCTAACACCTGATTTACAAATTTGGTAAAGTTATCTGAGCTTAAATATTGTTTTTGATTAGCATGTCTAACAATGTCGGCAGCGACATTTGCATGGCCCTGTATATACACAAAGGTCACATGTTACCAGGATATCCTGGTAACGTGCCCTATGACCATATGTATTATTACCATTAAGTGATGTGAGCGGCATGTGGTCTGTGTGAACCATTGCCTTGTACCCAAGTAAATTATCTCTGAAGTACTTTAAGAGCCCATATAATTGCTAACATTTCCCTAACGGTGACTAAGTAATTCTTCTCTGCATTGGTGAGAACCCTACTAGCAAACCCAATATGATGCAGATTCCCTTCGTACTCCTGCATTAAAACAGCTCCTAGCCCAACACTCGATGCGTCTGTATGAAGAATGAAGGGGAGGTCAAAACTCAGATATGCAAGAATGGTGCCAAGGGACATCTTTCTTGAGATGTGTCAGCGGTGAAGCAATCCTCCCATAATCTTTAATGAACGTCCTACAAAAACCAGCTAACCCCAGGAACGACTTTACCTGTGTCACATCAGAGAGAATGGGGAACATATTGATGGCTTTAACCTTGGCTTCATTAGGGGCAATACCTGCAACATTAACCGATTGACCGAGGAAATCTAAACATGACTGGAAGAACTTGATTGAAGGTGAACAAATCAAAATGTCATCTAAATAGACTTATCACTAGACTAGCACCTTATCATTAACTAAACCCTGCAGGACTAGCACCTTATCATTAACTAAACCCTGCAGGACGAGAGCCAAAAGACGAATAAGCATCAGAGGAGAGTTCCTTAGACCCATAGGTGACACTAGGAATTCAAAATGACTCGCATGCATTGAGAATGTAGTGTATGACCAGCTGTCTTCTGCCAGGAGGACCTGAAGGAAACCTTTCGCCAGATCAATTGAGGAGAAGACCTTACTCCTCCCACCTATGTCTTGCAAGAGCTGGCGAAGGTTAGGGATGGGAAAAGGTGATGGAATGGTCACCTTGTTCAGACGCCGAAAATAACAAACGGTACGAAAGCCATGCTGACGCTTCGGCACCAGAACATCGGTGCTGACAATGAGCTAGTCAGCGGTTGAATTAGCCCTTGTTGCAGCATACCATGCACTTCCTCCTCTAGAATCTGATATATGCTGTGTGGGATCCTGTATTCCAGAATATACATAGGCTTAGCCCCAGGTTCTAGAGTAATAGATTATTCTACCTTATGCGTTCTGCCTAGTGGACGGTCCTTGGCTGGTAAAATGTCTGGGAATTTATTTATCAACTTACCTAGAATCTCCTTACCCTCGCTAAATGCGAATGGTACCTGCAATTTCATGATTGAGTCGCATTCTCGCCGCCATAAGGCACAGTGTAGCAAAATGCCCCAACTCTCGCCTAACACCTGAATGGATTACGGTGTCTTCCACATCTGCGATAAATTGGTTAACAGAGACGCTAGAGCCTAAGCATTTTGACGCTACATTGTACATCGTGGGAGACATGGCGGGACCCATACTTGATGCAGCCATAACAAGGGTGAGATCAGAGGAGGAGGGTAGAGATGGAGAATGTTTCCGGTTTGTGTAGCGAGAGAAAGAGGGGAGGCTGAATCAGAAGTAGAAGGTGAGTGAGAAAAAGTAAGAGAAGAGTCCTTAGGGGAGAAACCTAGCGAAGTCTGCAGAGCCTTTATGACAGTCGACTTCTTCAGATGGAGGAGAGCTCATCAGATAATGTAGAACAGAAAATCCAACAGCTGTACGTCAAAATTACTTTGTATTGAAATATCGTGACTGCGGGGGGGAGAGAGAGAAAGAGAAAGAGGGGGGGGGAGAGAGAGAGAAAGAGAAAGAGGGGGGGGAGAGAGAGAGAAAGAGAAGAGAGGGGGGGGAGAGAGAGAGAAAGAGAGAGAGAGGGGGGGGGAGAGAGAGAGAAAGAGAGAGAGAGGGGGGGGGAGAAGAGAGAGAAAGAGAGAGAGAGGGGGGGGAGAGAGAGAGAAAGAGAAGAGAGGGGGGGGGAGAGAGAGAGAAAGAGAAGAGAGGGGGGGGGGAGAGAGAGAAGAGAAGAGGGGGGGGGAGAGAGAGAGAAAGAGAAGAGAGGGGGGGGGGAGAGAGAGAGAAAGAGAGAGAGAGGGGGGGGAGAGAGAGAGAAAGAGAGAGAGAGGGGGGGGAGAAGAGAGAGAAAGAGAGAGAGAGGGGGGGAGAAGAGAGAGAAAGAGAGAGAGAGGGGGGGGAGAAGAGAGAGAAAGAGAGAGAGAGGGGGGGGAGAAGAGAGAGAAAGAGAGAGAGAGGGGGGGAGAGAGAGAGAAAGAGAGAGAGAGGGGGGGAGAAGAGAGAGAAAGAGAGAGAGAGGGGGGGAGAAGAGAGAGAAAGAGAGAGAGAGGGGGCGAGAAGAGAGAGAAAGAGAGAGAGAGGGGGCGAGGAGAGAGAAAGAGAGAGAGAGGGGGCGAGAAGAGAGAGAAAGAGAGAGAGAGGGGGGGAGATAAAGAGAAAAAGAGAGAGGGGGGGGAGAAGAGAAAGAGAGAGAGAGGGGGGGGAGAAAGAGAAAGAGAGAGAGAGGGGGGGGGAGAAGAGAAAGAGAGAGAGAGGGGGGGGGAGAGAGAAAGAGAAAGAGGGGGGGGGGAGAGAGAAAGAGAAAGAGGGGGGGAGAGAGAGAAGAGAAAAGAGGGGGGGGAGAGAGAAAGGGAAAGAGGGGGGGAGAGAGAGAAAGAGAAAGAGGGGGGGGAGAGAGAGAAGAGAAAGAGGGGGGGGAGAGAGAGAAAGAGAAAGAGGGGGGGGGGAGAGAGAAGAGAAAGAGGGGGGGGGAGAGAGAAAGAGAAAGAGGGGGGGGGAGAGAGAAAGAAAGAGGGGGGGGGGAGAGAAAGAGAAAGAGAGAGGAGGGGAGAGAAAGAGAGAGGGGGGGGAGAGAAAGAAGGGGAGAGAGAAGAGGGGGGGGAGAGAAAGAGAGTGGGGGGGAGAGAAAGAGAGTGGGGGGAGAGAAAGAGAGTGGGGGGGGAGAGAAAGAGAGTGGGGGGGGAGAGAAAGAGAGTGGGGGGGGAGAGAAGAGAGTGGGGGGGGAGAGAAAGAGAGTGGGGGGGGGAGAGAAGAGAGTGGGGGGGGAGAGAGAGAGTGGGGGGGGGAGAGAGAGAGTGGGGGGGGGAGAGAGAGAGTGGGGGGGGGAGAGAAAGAGAGTGGGGGGGGAGAGAAAGAGAGTGGGGGGGGAGAGAAAGAGAGTGGGGGGGGGGAGAAAGAGAGTGGGGGGGGGAGAAAGAGAGTGGGGGGGGAGAGAAAGAGAGTGGGGGGGAGAGAAAGAGAGTGGGGGGGAGAGAAAGAGAGTGGGGGGGAGAGAAAGAGAGTGGGGGGGAGAGAAAGAGAGTGGGGGGGAGAGAAAGAGAGTGGGGGGGAGAAAGAGTGGGGGGAGAAAGAGTGGGAGAGAAAGAGAGGGGGGAGAGAAAGAGGGGGGGGGAGAGAAAGAGAGTGGGGGGGAGAGAAAGAGTGGGGGGGGAGAGAAAGAGAGTGGGGGGGGGAGAGAAAGAGAGTGGGGGGGGAGAGAAAGAGAGTGGGGGGGGGAGAGAAAGAGAGTGGGGGGGGGAGAGAAAGAGAGTGGGGGGGGGAGAGAAAGAGAGTGGGGGGGGAGAGAAAGAGAGTGGGGGGGGAGAGAAAGAGAGTGGGGGGGAGAGAAAGAGTGGGGGGGGAGAGAAAGAGAGTGGGGGGGGAGAGAAAGAGAGTGGGGGGGGAGAGAAAGAGAGTGGGGGGGGAGAGAAAGAGTGGGGGGGGAGAGAAAGAGTGGGGAGGGGAGAGAAAGAGAGTGGGGGGGAGAAAGAGAGTGGGGGGGAGAAAGAGAGTGGGGGGGAGAAAGAGTGGGAGAGAAAGAGAGAGGGGGAGAGAAAGAGAGAGGGGGAGAGAAAGAGAGAGGGGGGGAGAGAAAGAGAGAGGGGGGTCAGAGAAAGAGAGAGGGGGGTCAGAGAAAGAGAGAGGGGGGTCAGAGAAAGAGAGAGGGGGGAGAGAAAGAGAGAGGGGGGGCAGAGAAAGAGAGAGGGGGGGAGAGAAAGAGAGAGGGGGGGCAGAGAAAGAGAGAGGGGGGGCAGAGAAAGAGAGAGGGGGAAAGAGAAACACTTGAAAATACCTCCTCCAACCCCCGCAAACCAACCCCACCGCTCCCGCCGATAAGGATAAATCCGATAAGCGAAGCTGAGCCTCGCCCGGGCTACGCCCATGAGGGGAGCCGACTCGCTAACATGCGTCAGCTGGTGCTGACGCGGATGAACTTAGTCCTTACCCGTCGTGGTGCCCGGCTACAGCAGTAACCTCCAGGCGACAATTGCAACTTCTCGCGCCTGGGGGGAGCGCGAACCGCCGACCCCTTGGATGAGAGGCCGACACGCTACCCTCTGTACTAGCCAGGAGGCTGGTCCCGCCGACTTCATGATACAAGATATTCCCACAAAACTCCCGTTCTCAACCAACTTTCCATACCTCTCTCACGGATGAACCTACCATGACGCTGTGGAGGATAACGGAAGTGCACAAGATGTATCCCAGGTTGATGAGCGGCTGCGCGTAGGGCAAGGGGCCCGAGGGGGGATTGTTGTACGCTTGAAGACTAGGACGCAGAAGCAGACTTGTTACTATAGCCCATATGAGCTGAAACGAAAGCAAAAATGATCATCGTCAGTATGTATAAAAAATATGACGCATATCATGTACATATAAGCAAGCATACATGCTTAATGAGCAAACATGCACACGCATACATGCTTAATGAGCAAACATGCACACGCATACATGCTTAATGAGCAAACATGCACACGCATACATGCTTAATGAGCAAACATGCACACGCATACATGCTTAATGAGCAAACATGCACACGCATACATGCTTAATGAGCAAACATGCACACGCATACATGCTTAATGAGCAAACATGCACACGCATACATGCTTAATGAGCAAACATGCACACGCATACATGCTTAATGAGCAAACATGCACACGCATACATGCTTAATGAGCAAACATGCACACGCATACATGCTTAATGAGCAAACATGCACACGCATACATGCTTAATGAGCAAACATGCACACGCATACATGCTTAATGAGCAAACATGCACACGCATACATGCTTAATGAGCAAACATGCACACGCATACATGCTTAATGAGCAAACATGCACACGCATACATGCTTAATGAGCAAACATGCACACGCATACATGCTTAATGAGCAAACATGCACACGCATACATGCTTAATGAGCAAACATGCACACGCATACATGCTTAATGAGCAAACATGCACACGCATACATGCTTAATGAGCAAACATGCACACGCATACATGCTTAATGAGCAAACATGCACACGCATACATGCTTAATGAGCAAACATGCACACGCATACATGCTTAATGAGCAAACATGCACACGCATACATGCTTAATGAGCAAACATGCACACGCATACATGCTTAATGAGCAAACATGCACACGCATACATGCTTAATGAGCAAACATGCACACGCATACATGCTTAATGAGCAAACATGCACACGCATACATGCTTAATGAGCAAACATGCACACGCATACATGCTTAATGAGCAAACATGCACACGCATACATGCTTAATGAGCAAACATGCACACGCATACATGCTTAATGAGCAAACATGCACACGCATACATGCTTAATGAGCAAACATGCACACGCATACATGCTTAATGAGCAAACATGCACACGCATACATGCTTAATGAGCAAACATGCACACGCATACATGCTTAATGAGCAAACATGCACACGCATACATGCTTAATGAGCAAACATGCACACGCATACATGCTTAATGAGCAAACATGCACACGCATACATGCTTAATGAGCAAACATGCACACGCATACATGCTTAATGAGCAAACATGCACACGCATACATGCTTAATGAGCAAACATGCACACGCATACATGCTTAATGAGCAAACATGCACACGCATACATGCTTAATGAGCAAACATGCACACGCATACATGCATAATGAGCAAACATGCACACGCATACATGCATAATGAGCAAACATGCACACGCATACATGCATAATGAGCAAACATGCACACGCATACATGCATAATGAGCAAACATGCACACGCATACATGCATAATGAGCAAACATGCACACGCATACATGCATAATGAGCAAACATGCACACGCATACATGCATAATGAGCAAACATGCACACGCATACATGCATAATGAGCAAACATGCACACGCATACATGCATAATGAGCAAACATGCACACGCATGTATAAATATTGAGCACATACACGCACGCATAGATGCGCGCACACGCACGCGCACACGCACGCACACGCACACGCACACACACAGATGCACACGCATACACACAAACATACTCGCTTAACTTACATGTGCGTGCGAGTGTGAATAACTGATAGCAAATCTCTGAAGGATGCATCATAGTCACTTCAAGGAAACAAAAGAGAAAAACAAGGGAAAGACAAGCTCCTTAGCAGGAGCTGATCGATCTGAAACTGTGCACCTATATATCACGAACTGTCATCCAGACAAATGAAGAAAGCATCGAAGAACAAATCTTGGACAATTCTGAAAATATATTAAGTGTACTAGCTCATAAGACGATCATTAGCCATGGTAGTAACTAATACACTATATTTACGGCACTCGTACGAGGCCGCGAAATAAAGCCCGAACTATTTTTAGACTCTGATGCCTTTCCAGGGAATGTCAAAGTGTTCCTAAACAGAAACAAGTACTACCGTGACCAGAGGGTTTAACAAGGCACCGCCGTCAGCAAGACCGACGGTCAGATCACAAATGCTGAAAATAAAAATAATTGCCAAGGAATCAAACCGAGAATGTGAACAAACAGGTAAATGTATATACTTAATGACCAATGACGGCATAGACTCCATTTGTTACAAAAACTATTAGATGACATCCTGCTCCACGGATACACAACGACATCAAGAGAGCCAAAAGAGAGAAATAGTGTTCATAATACTCTCAAAATGACAATATGGCACTCCAGGCTAATTGCAAACAAATAAGAGGTGTTAAATCACTTGTATAACGAACCTAAAGTGATTATTGTAGAAATGAATTAACAGATTGTAAAAAAGACACTGCTATAACAAAGATGATAGTTAACATACTTGTGGCAACAAAAATAACAGATATAATCTGGAGTTCAGAATTACTGTAGTGTGCTTAGTTTGTGCGTCATGATATTACTTGGTGTTACATCTGAGACGCCATTGTATTCTAATTGCGATATGTCGGAGTCTGACAAATTCATTGTGAAGTCCTTGCTGATTTTGGGGCTGTTTGTTAGGCTTTCCCTGGGTGGCGGAGAGCCTTTGGTAGCTCTGACTTTTGTTAGTTTTGCTTTTCTTATTTCAGGCTTTGTCTATTTAGGTTTCTTTTTCTTTGCTGGCTTTACCTGGGTAAGGTCAGCCTGTTCTGGCACTGGCTGCACAGATCCAGCCTGATTTTGCTCTGCCTGTGAGGCCATGGCTAGGGTTGGAGTGGGGAGGGGAGTCTCATCCTGGATGAGGGTGGGGCTGGAGTGGGGAGGGGAGTCTCGTCCTGGGTGAGGGTGAGGCTGGTTTGGCTCTGTCCATCTTCCTTCCCTTCAGGACTGCAACAGTCTGGGTCATTGCCGGCATGGCGACTGTGACTGCCTTCCCCTGCCTTTATTGGAGATATCCGGTGTCGGCTGGGGAAGAGCTTCCTTACTCTATGGAGGTCAGGAAGCTTTTTCCCTCTTGTTCTGTCCCCAAACAGAAGTGCCTGGGGGAGCAAGAACAAAGTCTGGTCGCTATTTAGCAACCTCTTGACGTCTGAAGTCCCCTCTTTCCTAACAGAGCAAACCAGGCTCCAGGCATGATTGATGCCTCTCAAATCTGAAATGGTTTCGCGGTCTACTCACCAATCCCAAGAAGCCCAGCAGAATAAGGAGGATCCGGAGGCATTTATTCTTTTTACGTCGAATCCATGTCAATAATTCCTGAAAAATCAACATATTTTAAATAAAAGGATTATGCTCAGAATAACATTAAAGACTAATCTAAATTCATATGTCAACCAAAAATAACCAGAAGATACCATTAGTGTTCAGTCCCATTGCTAGCCAAAAATATTCATGTTTGAAATGCACATTTATTGTATAATCTATAAACTATTCTACGGATAAGCTTTTAATTCACTGAAATGTAATCTATGCACTTACCGATTAAGAGAGCAAAGTTAAATCTATGAACAAAAAAGAAAAAAAAAACGTTAAACTTCCCTAAAGGGAAGGGTTTCTTAACCAGGGTATACATAATCCTAGGGGGTATGGGACTCGATCTCTGGATATTGATATCTTTATGAAGCATTTATTCACATCTCGGTACATTATTAGAAAAAAAAACACTTATTTCTCATTCTGAAGCCAATCTGAAATAACCAAACTCCTCTTTCTAAATCCATTACACACATACGTATATACATATAAGTGTGTATATACACATACCTATATCTATACCCATATCAACCAAACACACATGTAACTCCTATGCCTATACCCCACCCCCCCACCATACATACATACATATCTATACCTATACCCCCTCCCCACCCAAAAGAAAATCATACCTATACCAGTTAGAAAAAACCCACAATGCAAAGACTAGATTTATTGATGGAATCCCCCTGGAATCCATCTTCACGTAGACGAGGAAAGGGATAAGGATATGCGAAGCTGAGCCTCGCCCGGGCTATGAGGGGAGCCCGGCCTGTGTCGCCTAATGTCGACTCGCTAACAGTGTGTCAGCTGGTTCTGCCTCGGGTGAGCTTAGTCTTTACCCGCCGTGGTGCCCAGCCACAGCAGTAACCTCCAGGCGAAAATTGCAATTTCTCGCACCCGGGCGGGGCGCGAACCACTGACCCCTCGGATGAGAGGCCGACACATTACCTCTGTACTAGCCCGAAGGCTGAGGAAAGGGAGAGGAGGGGGTTTAAAAGAGAGTGGCAACGCAGCAGGCGAGGACAGACGAACGGAAGCAAAAGGAGGTCAGGTCAGGTCGGAAGATCGGGCGGTCTATATGAAGGGTGGTCGGCATAAGGGAGTAGGCGGAGCATGTAGGAAGCGGAGTGTTTTCAAGCTGAAATTAGGTAGCAGCAGGACTAAGGAGGATACCTATATCCAACACGCATATACACCCCCATACACATACATTCACTCCCACATACACAATATACGTAAGAGGAAGAGAGAGAGAAACAGACACACACACACACACACACACAAACAGAGAGAAACAGACACACACACACACACACACACACAAACAGAGAGAAACAGACACACACACACACACACAAACAGAGAGAAACAGACACAGAGAGAGAGACAGACAAACAGACACAGAGAGAGAGACAGACAAACAGACACAGAGAGAGAGACAGACAAACAGACACAGAGAGAGAGACAGACAAACAGACACAGAGAGAGAGACAGACAAACAGACACAGAGAGAGAGACAGACAAACAGACACAGAGAGAGAGACAGACAAACAGACAAACAGACACAGAGAGAGAGAGAGACAGACAGACAAACAGACACAGAGAGAGAGAGAGACAGACAGACAAACAGACACAGAGAGAGAGAGAGAGAGACAGACAAACAGACACACACAGAGAGAGACAGACAGACAAACAGACACAGAGAGAGAGACAGACAGACAGACAAACAGACACACACAGAGAGAGAGAGAGACAGACAGACAAACAGACACAGAGAGAGAGACAGACAGACAGACAAACAGACACACACAGAGAGAGAGAGACAGACAGACAAACAGACACAGAGAGAGAGACAGACAGACAGACAAACAGACACACACACAGAGAGAGACAGACAGACAAACAGACACAGAGAGAGAGAGAGAGACAGACAGACAAACAGACAGAGAGAGAGACAGACAGACAGACAAACAGACACAGAGAGAGAGACAGACAGACAGACAAACAGACACAGAGAGACAGACAGACAGACAAACAGACACAGAGAGAGAGACAGACAGACAAACAGACACAGACAGAGAGAGACAGACAGACAGACAAACAGACAGAGAGAGAGAGACAGACAGACAGACAAACAGACACAGAGAGAGAGAGACAGACAGACAAACAGACACAGACAGAGAGAGACAGACAGACAAACAGACACAGAGAGAGAGAGACAGACAGACAAACAGACACAGAGAGAGAGACAGACAGACAGACAAACAGACACAGAGAGAGAGACAGACAGACAGACAGACAAACAGACAGAGAGAGAGACAGACAGACAAACAGACAGAGAGAGAGAGAGAGACAGACAGACAAACAGACACAGAGAGAGAGACAGACAGACAGACAAACAGACACAGAGAGAGAGACAGACAAACAGACACAGAGAGAGAGAGAGAGAGACAGACAAACAGACACAGAGAGAGAGAGAGAGAGACAGACAAACAGACACAGAGAGAGAGAGAGAGAGACAGACAAACAGACACAGAGAGAGAGAGAGACAGACAAACAGACACAGAGAGAGAGAGACAGACAGACAAACAGACACAGAGAGAGAGACAGACAGACAAACAGACACAGAGAGAGAGACAGACAGACAGACAAACAGACACAGAGAGAGAGACAGACAGACAGACAGACAAACAGACACAGAGAGACAGACAGACAGACAGACAAACAGACAGAGAGAGAGACAGACAGACAAACAGACAGAGAGAGAGAGAGAGACAGACAGACAAACAGACAGAGAGAGAGAGAGAGACAGACAGACAAACAGACAGAGAGAGAGAGAGAGAGAGACAGACAAACAGACACAGAGAGAGAGAGAGAGAGACAGACAAACAGACACAGAGAGAGAGAGAGACAGACAGACAAACAGACACAGAGAGAGAGAGAGAGAGAGACAGACAAACAGACACAGAGAGAGAGACAGACAGACAGACAAACAGACACAGAGAGACAGACAGACAGACAAACAGACACAGACAGAGAGAGAGACAGACAGACAAACAGACACAGACAGAGAGAGACAGACAGACAGACAAACAGACACAGAGAGAGAGAGACAGACAGACAAACAGACACAGAGAGAGACAGACAGACAGACAAACAGACACAGAGAGAGACAGACAGACAGACAAACAGACACAGAGAGAGAGAGACAGACAGACAAACAGACACAGAGAGAGAGAGACAGACAGACAAACAGACACAGAGAGAGAGAGACAGACAGACAAACAGACACAGAGAGAGAGAGACAGACAGACAAACAGACACAGAGAGAGAGACAGACAGACAGACAGACAAACAGACACAGAGAGAGAGACAGACAGACAGACAGACAAACAGACAGAGAGAGAGACAGACAGACAGACAGACAAACAGACAGAGAGAGAGACAGACAGACAAACAGACAGAGAGAGAGAGACAGACAGACAGACAAACAGACACAGAGAGAGAGACAGACAGACAGACAAACAGACACAGAGAGAGAGACAGACAGACAGACAAACAGACACAGAGAGAGAGACAAACAGACACAGAGAGAGAGAGAGAGAGACAGACAAACAGACAGAGAGAGAGAGAGAGACAGACAAACAGACACAGAGAGAGAGAGAGACAGACAAACAGACACAGAGAGAGAGAGACAGACAGACAAACAGACACAGAGAGAGAGAGACAGACAGACAAACAGACACAGAGAGAGAGAGAGAGACAGACAAACAGACACAGAGAGAGAGACAGACAGACAAACAGACACAGAGAGAGAGACAGACAGACAGACAGACAAACAGACACAGAGAGAGAGACAGACAGACAGACAAACAGACAGAGAGAGAGACAGACAGACAAACAGACAGAGAGAGAGAGACAGACAAACAGACACAGAGAGAGAGAGAGAGACAGACAGACAGACAAACAGACACAGAGAGAGAGAGAGAGACAGACAAACAGACACAGAGAGAGAGAGACAGACAAACAGACACAGAGAGAGAGAGAGACAGACAGACAAACAGACACAGAGAGAGAGAGAGAGAGAGACAGACAAACAGACACAGAGAGAGAGAGAGACAGACAAACAGACAGAGAGAGAGAGAGACAGACAGACAAACAGACACAGAGAGAGAGAGACAGACAAACAGACAGAGAGAGACACAGACAGACAGGGCATGGAGTAAATCAAGGAAATTACGGGATAAAACAGGCTAAAATAAGGATAATAGAGAACAGATGTGTAAAACAAGCACAACAAAACGGTTAAAATGAGCTATGGACGTCTCCGCCATCTTTGAAAATTTCAAAGAACTTTACGGGACTTTTCTGAGCCTGGTAAAACCAAGGCAGGGCATCGTCAGGATTCCTCCTGTGTTTGATGTTACGGGGATAAACCCACCCCAAGTGGGTTGTCCTTATACCCAGACTGTGTGGGGCGTGTGTAGGTATTCATCCACCAAATTGTGTATGATATGGTTAACCCATTCGCGATGGGTAAAAATGAACAAAAAATGGGGAAAATGCTGTGCTCATTTTTTATACTTTTTTTGTGAAATGTCTCTACACATAGATGGCTCTGCCTTACCTGATTTCAATTGGCGGGAAAATGTATTTTTTACTAGTGCTATGAATATCGATGGTTTTTATTATAAACATTATAATTACAATAATGTTATAAACATTTGTAACAGCAGAATAAGATAACGTAAAATATTTTCATAAATTAAAGAAAAGGGTAAACGGGCGAGACAGGCAGTACAAGTACAAGTGTAGCCATCTATGTTTAAAAACAATTAAACAAGTAAACTCATAGTGGGCATGTCACGTATACGTGACACCCGGCGCAAATGGGTTAAGACATGTAGAAACAAATCTTTAGTCAAAATTACGAATACTGAGTATAGTGCCTGAGTAACTGGGTGCTGTACAAACGATCGTTGACGTTGAGTATGTCTGATAGCACTTGACCGCCAGACCGCAGGGAATTAATCACCTAAGAAGCGGACAATCATATATAAGAACAGACAGCCTTCCAGTAGGATTATCATTGTCATTGTGGAGAACAGCTACCACCTAACGAGTACCAATTAATTTGGAAGATACAGAGCTAAGCTCCATTAGACCGTGGAGCTCAGAGGCTTTGGTTGCTACAAGTGCCAGGGTTATAGCCATGTAGCTAAATATTGCAGGAAAGAAATAGCTTGTGCTGTCTGTGCAGATGCTCACCAGACAAAGGAATGCCTTGCAAGAAACAAGGACAACAAAAACACTGTCACCACCGTGAAGAGGTGTGTTAGGTGCGGAGCACAAGGTATGATGACCTGGCACCATAACTGCCTCCACAAGCCACCACGCACACATGCCCAGTCTACCAGTAGCATTCTGTGTCCCAGGAAACAGTGCCACAGAAGTAACCAATGATGAAAAAATCAAGGAAATGGCCGAGGAAATATGAAGCTGCAGGCCAGATCTTGCGGAATTGAAAAAGGCTGAAGCGTCCAAAGTAAGCTCACTTCCAGCAGATATTCAGAATCAGCTCTATGCTATCCTTATGCACAAGGTTGTGGCAGATATTCTACTTGGGGATGGTGCTATGCTATGCTGATGACATGTGTCAGAGCATCAACATAAGAGAGGATGCAAATAATTTTTGACTCACAATAAAGGCTCATGAGTGTGGATTAATCATCTTCAAGAAAATAATAGCTCTCAACCCATGAATCATACCCCTATCCACCTTTCACATAGGTGACCAAGAGCTCGACATGTGTCATAAGTATATCTGGTGGTGAACGTAAATGATGCAGACCTGATTCTTTCACTAAAGAAGAGACTCTGGGTGATATTGAAACCAGTGAAAGTTCGGTCAATATGTAGTATAAGGTAGTGGCAGAGTTGGGTAATAAAACTTATATGAAATGATAGAACAATACAAACGGAGACAAAGTTCTCCTAAGGCAATAATAGTGCAAATGGTTCCCGAAGGTGCTATACGTAAAAGAAAAGAGAAGATCCTACAATTTTGGGTTAATTTTCCAAAAATGACAACTGGGTCTTCCCTGACAATGTTTATATCATCAGATTTGTTCTCGTGTGATGAGAACGAATCTGATGATATTCTCCGTCGGATTCTCCAGCCGACAATCTTGATGTGTTTTCATAAGTCCCGATAGCAGGGAAGGGCATGAAGTAGATCAGGGAAATTACGGGGTAAAACAGGCTGAAATAAGCAAAATAGAGAGCAGAAATGTGTAAAACAAGCACAAAAAACGCTTAAAATCGGATAATGAAACTCTACGGACATCGCCGCCATCTTTCAAAGTCTACGGACCGACGCGCCAAATTTCAAAAAACTCTACGGGAACCAAACCCACCGTTCGGTAAAAATCTACGGGATTTCACATAATCCAGATCCCCTGTGATAATCGTACAATGCGTCCTAACCAACAAACCAACCTAACCTAACCTAGCCTAGCCTAACCTAACCCTGTGGGATTTATACACTACGATCTATACATTCCCTAGCCAGGGGGCTCTGCCCCCTGGACCCCCATGGTATTAAATGCGCCTAGCCAGGGGGCTACGCCCCCTGGACCCCCGTAGTAATATACCACATACCTTTATAAAGCAAAAACCGAACTTTTCTGCGCTTCCATCTATGGTCAGAATTGCTTGGTTTCTAATCACTTTTTTCGGCATTTGGGGCACTTGTTGGGCTCAAATATCAGGCTTGTGATTGAGAATAATGTCTATTTGTCCTGTATATCCACAATATAGTTTTAAAAATAACCCGATGTCGACACAGCACTTGAAATGAAACATTTTTCACCGGTGTTTCTGAGCGAATGGCGGTGGGTCGACCTGTCAAATCTCCCGGTGAAAACGCGCATGCGCAAAAGGTTATTGTATAGAATAACGTAAAAAATTACCAAAAGACGCAAGAGAAGTATAATAAAACTAGAAGAATGCATTACATACATGAATTCAGACGCTAGTAATGACAAAATAAGCGTTTTCACAAGCGCGTAGCAATACATGGACTACTTGCTGGATCGCAGTAATGAGTTACGCGTCACAATTGTTTTGATTTCGCAAGGTAAACATGGAAGGGGACTTAGAAAATGAAGGGTCGAGTTTCTCTCTTCTCTGTCCTATATCTCCCTTATTTTAGATTTGCGCAGTTTTTGCCATAGATGAAAAGTGTCTTAGTTTTCGTCAAGGTATCCATTCCATACACTTATTTTACTGTACGATTGGTTGACATGCGCGGAAAGTTTTCCCAATTTTGGCTAAGTCGCTCATCTTGTTTACATTGCGAGGGTGAACTCTAGAGGTATATACTACCACGGGGGTCCAGGGGGCGTAGCCCCCTTGCTAGGCATATATATTACCACGGGGGTCCAGGGGGCAGAGCTCCCTGACTAGGGAATAATACCACGGTGTTTGGTTAGGTTGGATGTTCGGTTAGGACGTTTTGTTTAACAACCACGGAGGTCCTAATTTACCCCATAATTTCCCTGACATACTTCATGCCCTCCCCTGCTGTTGTGGCTATCAAATCAAGACTGTCGATGGAGATGGTGATCATATCTCCTCAACGATTCATTTGTACAAGGAACAATGCCTAGAATCGTTAAAAGCAATGGATTTCTTGCAGAAAAATATCAAAATTGTTTCGAAAGTACCCCACTACCTCCTCCTACACATTAACCGGGGATCTTCTCTTCTCTATTCTTTTACGTATAGCAGCCTTGGGAAGCATTTGCACACACATTGCCATAGAAGAAATTTGTCTGGGTTTGTATTGTTCTATCATTTCATGTAGGTTTTATTACCCAACTCTGCCACTACCTTATACTACATATTAACCATTTTTTCTCACAAGCGCGTAGCAACACATGGATTACACGATGGGGACTGAGAAAAAGAAGGGTCGATATTCTCTCTTCTGTCCTGTATCTCATTTTTTGGTTTGCGCACCTTTTGCCATAGATGAGAAAGGTCTTAGTTTTCGTCAAAGTAACCACTCCATATTTTTTTTAAATGTAATTCTGATTGTCATACACAGAAATGTTCCCTATTTTTGCGAATTAATCCTCTTAGGATGAAGTTCATGCGTTTATTAGGTCGACTTTTACCGCACACGTAATACTTACACAAATACACTCATGTCACTGGCTTTCGTGCCTGCCGGCGCTAAGAGAGAACACTTACATATTGCAAGGCTGCGCTTATGGAATCCTTAACGATTCATTTAAGCGTAAATGCAGCCTATATATCAACAGAACACTGGAAGCGCTGACGCCACGGCTATCGCTGATTTCACCCCCCTATCAGTTTCCGTGTGCAGTTGCCGGACCACGCAATTAGATATTACATTACGTTTCAAGACGAGTTAAATAAAACATAGGCAATATAATTACGTGAAAAGTGTTCCAATTTGAACGTGTGAGCAACATTTGGCATTTACGAGGAACCCTGATCTACAGCACATGTGCAGACCTTGAACATGCCATCAAGATCAACAGTTAAGCGTGCATTTTGCATATATTTCCGAATCTTTAACGAGAACATTGTAAGTACTAACCAGACCCATGGTGCCTTCTTTCTAAAAGGGTGTGCTTGACCAAATATGCCGCGATTTCTTCACTAACCCGAAGTATTGGAACGCAATGAGTGCTTGCCGATGCCTTCCCCCCTTCCGCCTTTCTGAGTAAAAGATTACGCCGGAAAATCCTTAAACAAGGACAAAAGAGCATAAAAGATATTGGCCATTGTGTTCTCAACAGATGGCGCAGGCAAGCGTACGCTTTCGTTAATTTTCATTCTTATCTTACATTTGACCTGCTTCCACCGATATTTTCTGTCTGTACCGCTTATTAATGACATAATGGAATAGTCAGAGTACAATCAAACAAAACATAAATAATACAAAAACACGAAGCTAATCGTATTTCGTGTCCCCCTTCCAGTTTATCGCATCATCAAAAGATGGCGTGGACTAACGCCGATGAAAGGGGGAGCTAGCCTAAACCTCATACCTATATACTTCCTTCCGAACAAGCTGATTTGTAACTATTTTTTTCCGTCCTGTTTTCTCCTCTGTCACACCGTAGTGTATGATTATTCCCCAATGATAGGGTAAATTCAGTCAATCTACGTATTCATAATACCTTAGTAAACAATCCTACATTCAACACTTCATCTGGTCTTACAACGAGGTCACATTAATGAAAAAAAGGAAAATTACCTTCTCTGGAGAAGTTTGCAACGCAACATATTAGGGTACACAATCTAAATTATTTTCTTACATTCTTAGATTACAAACTATCATAATACCAATTCTATACTCCTGTTCGAAATTAGTAATTAAGTTATTCGCTGTGTTAAAGTCCTTTTAATGTATCATTTTTCAAATAAATATAAACTAAACAATAATTTGAGGGTGAGGGTAAGAGCGTGAAAAAAAATCCCGTAAGCAATTGAACACTAGTAATGTTTGTTTGTCTTTTCCTTCCTTTTCCTTTTTTTTACACGGATCATTTCATTTATAATTTTATTTATCTCTTACCTTAGCTGATTCATCCACAACTACATTTATCTATACTCGGCTAAAACACAAGCGATCGACATCACTCACTAGTCGAGTGGAATGTGAAGGCCTGTGATTCACCGACATCTAAGCGTTCTAGCTATCAACGAAACCGTAAACATCTTCATCTTCCAGGGAGATTTGTTGTAAAACTTCACGTACGAAATGATGATGTAAAGTTGTTTAACGAAATGCGATCGCCAAAAATCTTTCGGTTATCTTCACTGCCACGTGATTGTGAGAGAGATAGAGAGATAAAGAGATAGATAGATAGAGAGAGTGAAAGAGAGAGAGAGAGAGACAGACAGACAGACAGACAGACAGAGAGAGAGACAGACAGAGAGAGTGAGAGAAAGTGAGAATGAGAGGGAGACAGGAGACACCGAGAAAGAAAGAAGAGAATGAGAGGGAGAGAGGAGACACCGAGCACGAAATTAGAAAAAGAGAGAGAGAGAATGAAAGAGACACACAGAGAAAGAGAAACCAAGAAAGCGAGAGGGAGGCAGGAGCAGTGACACGAAACACACTACCTTCCGACACAGACACGAACCAGCGAGCAACAGAAACCGGGTCGGCAACAGTAATGGGTCGGACGCCGCTGATGCAAAAGAGAAAAGAAGGGAGGAAAAAAACAAAAAAAAAAACTTCTTAAGACGTCCTCCTCTCTCATGGTTGTTTTTGTAATAGTACACTTGAGGGTCGTCCGCACATTTCGCGGCACTGAACGACCCACGTTCCCTCGCCTCGTCTTTAATTATTTTGCCAAATGAAAATGCTTTCGAATACGGAGCGGAGAAAGGAGCAATGGAGATGAAGGAAGTGAGAAGAGAAGGGAAAAAGTTTGATAATAAATAAGGGGGGGAATGAGAAAAGAAGAGAAGGGAAAGGAGAGCACAAGAACACGAAGAGCAAAAATGGTAATAACTGTGGCGAATCCGAGAGATAAAAAAAGGTGTAAAAAAAGTGAAGATAAAGTAAATGACTCCCCACCAAAGAAAAAAAAAGAAAAAGAAAATGAAAAAGAAAAAAAAAAAGAAAAAAAGACCCGAGGTTTAGGACGGTAATGTTAAAGGTTAATAAAGAAATGATAAACAATGTAAAAGCAGTTCGTAGAAAAAAAATACAATGGCGCTCTCAAATTGCTGAGTAACCGAATAAATCTAAACAAATTCTGCAAAACGCAAAAAGCAAAAACAGTATTGTACTAATCCACACACAATTACTAATACGAAATATTTAAAAAATTATATGCAGTTGTGACGTTTTTCTTTACCCAAATCAAAAGCTAAAACAGGGCATTAAAGAATAAAAAATTCTACAATTGAGGTATCAATACTTTCCAATAAAGGCAAAATCTGGCACGGAGACGATGTACCCAGAGTTCACCGTAATCGCTGCCGTAATAACAGACTTTTCTTTCTCCTGCGATCGCTGAAAAACACTGCCATGTACCAAGTCTTCTGCGAACGATATGGATGTCGAAAAAAACGGGAGGAAATGAGAAAAATCTATAGCGGCCGGTTTCCATATATTTCTGGCTGTTTCTGTTCACAGCTAAGTACGTCTGCACACATACACAAACACGCGCACACACTCACACACACAC